GGTTTGTTTATATTGTCATATTAATATAGCTGGAGAACGACATGTATATTTTACAATTGATGATTTTGTGAGGAGGTCGCTGTTATAGACATGTCTGTGTTGGTGTTGTTGTTGTCGTCGTTGATTATACGCGACAAATTAAGAAAAGTATACAATCCCAGTGAATGATGCATATAAAAATTTCGCGTGAGAACCATTTTCGCCAATGATCTTTGTCTATCTTCCGTATAAAAATCAGCAAGATATGCAAAACACTGAGCCAAGCAAATGGTGCTGCTTAATATCCAAAACACAGCAAAAGTCCTACCAATAGGAGTTGAGAAGCTCTTATCTCCGTAACCTAAAGTCGTAACCGTCTAACAAACACAATAGAATGCATCGACGAAATCTAGTTTCTCAACAAAATACAGAAAAACAGTTCCTGTAATCATGAGTACAACAAAAGTGGATATTGAAAGCAGAAACTTGTATTTGCTTTTCTTAGTCACAAGTTCTTTAGAAACCTCTTCTAGACCGAGTTTCTCGGCTTTGCATATTGCTTTAACAAGATACACTTCCTGTTTTTCAACAATGTAATCTGCTGCTTTGCTAAGAATCAAGCCACCAAGAGCCATACCAGTGAAGACATAAAGGCAAGCAAGTAGTTTCGCTATAGTACTATTAGGAACGAGATCGCCATATCCAACGGTTGTCATCGTGACGACACAGAAATAAAGAGCATCAAGAAAACCATATGTTTTTATGCCTTGAATTTGGTAACTTGCCAGAAAGAAACATAAGGTGCCTGTACCTAAGTATGCTGCTAAATAGAAGAATACTGGCTTGAAGTTGAGTTCTGCTTCTTGTGTTTCATATACATGAGTACAATTTCTATAGTTTTGTATATTTTTTAGGTAACCAATTTGAAGTTAATGAATTGTTATGTAGCCATATATTTTATTTGAGATAGCATGGCTTATGCAGATGACCAAAACTCATAGAATTTGGCCGAAACATTGGATAAATAGCATGGCTTATGCAGATAATATAATGTAAATTATCAACAACTGAAATCCACCTAAATTCAATAACCTGTCAATTGATAGTAATTCAGATAGAAAAGTCATTTATCATTTAATTTTTACTAATCAATTTCTATAGTTTTGTATATTTTTTAGGTAACCAATTTGAAGTTAATGAATTGTTATGTAGCCATATATTTTATTTGAGATAGCATGGCTTATGCAGATGACTAAAACTCATAGAATTTGGCCGAAACATTGGATAAATAGCATGGCTTATGCAGATAATATAATGTAAATTATCAACAACTGAAATCAACCTAAATTCAATAACCTATCAACTGTAATTTAGAAACAACAACTTATGTGACTTTGATACACTTTGAAACAAAACCATTATGTTGAAGCATGGATATATATTCATTACGGTATATTGCAGAGTACAAAAATTGTTTTTTTTTATAAAATTGATTTTGAAACTGGTTTTTTATAAAACTGGTTTTGAAATCGATTTTTTAAAGAAAATTAAAAACTGGTTTTTAGAAAAATCAGTTTAAAATTGGTTTCTTTTTAAAAACTGGTTTTTGTGAGAAACCAGTTTAAAATCGAACCGATTCACATGTAAACCAATTTTAGAAATATAAACTGGTTTTAATGAAGTAGTTTTAAGATCCAAACCAAACCATATATATGGTTCAATTTGGTTTGGTTATTGATCCGTGCACACCCGCAAGTGGGTTAATTCCATAAGTGAGTATATAAGTTCCATTTTGTTAGCAAAGCACGATTTTACCCCATTTCATTCATTCAAAAATCATAAAAGAGAGAGAGAGGGAAATTGAGAGTGAGTGGAGGAAGAAGAAGGGCGTTTTTATCAAGTGCGGAAAAGTCCTTTGCATGTTAGGAATTGAGTTATTGAAAAATAAACAAGAGGAGATTCAAGGGATTTCGTCAAAGATTCATCAACCATCACCTTCATAATTTATCCTACAAAAGGTGAGGTTTCCTTTAGGTTGAATTGAGTAGATCAACCTAGGTTCCTTGCAGTGGGGTTAGGGGATTGATACTTAATTTATACTTTCATTTGTGTAAATTGTTGTTTTATATGCCTTACATGTTTTCTTCATGATTGTGTGTTATATTATTGCTGGAAAACTTGTTTGGGTGCAGGTGAGAAGGATTTAGAAACATATTTTCTGGGCAGCATTACGGGTAACCCTAGGATGACCTAACCAAGCTAGTAATGAGACCTTGGGTACATAGTCGTATTTTGAGATAATGATTGTCCGTCAACATTGATTTTGAAAGAAATCAAGTACACACATGATACATGTTTGATTTTGAAAGAAATCAAGTACACACATGATACATGTGATGCATATTAAGACTCCTTAGCATACTTGTAGTGTGGTTCGTGACCACAAGGGTAATCCAGACAAAGGTGGTATGTTACATCATAAATCCAGCCTTAGTGACCCTGATCCTGTAAGCTATGTTTGTCATGAGAAGCGCTAGTTAGTGAAAGGACCTTCCACGAGGCTAACCATCTTTTGAAGAGACATGGTATATAAAGCGAGGGTATAAATATTCATCCATCATATGAGACTTTAAGTCTCGACCACCTCCTATTTTATTAGAAATCTGTGAGTGCTAAAATTGATAGTATTTGACTAGTCTTAGAAACCTTTTGAGTGAGAGGACTTATGGTTTAGTATGGTTCCAATGAGGTAGTATTGTCTCACCCCCTCATTGTTAAATATTTCAGATGAGTATGTTTTAAACAAAGGAAAGAGCATTGAGGAGCTTGAAGAATTTTCCTTATCCTTGTTCTGTTGTGTATTATGTTCTTAGAATTTCTATGTTGGACATGTTGTATTTGTATACACATTATTATAGACTATATTTTTATCATATAATTATGTCATCTATGCACTATAGTATGTATCAGTACTAATACCCAATATCCTAAATGTAAAGATTCTACACACTATTATATTTGGGATATTACAATATAAGTCAATATGTGCAAATTCCAATCGATAAGCATAATCTTTTTCATATGCTAGAATTTGTTACTACCACACAAGTCATTTTGTTTTTCAATCTGTGATAAAAGTTTTTCAAAACTGTTTTCAACTAAGATTTTAGTTGGGATGTTTATTCACTCCCCTTCTAGACCATTTTGAATACTCTATATTCTCGCACAACATTTATCCTTATAGGTCTCATGTTTGAGAGATTGTATATAATTTAGTTGTGTTCAATTCAGTCTTTTATTATAAAGAATTTCACCCTTACAAACCTCATGCTTAAGATAATATGTACAATTTGTTAGTTTAAGCCGAATCTAAACTCTGATGCGAAAGAGTCCAACCTGACTTCTAACATGTCCAATAAGGCATGGCCAAGTTAAGCCAACTAACAAACCAAGTCGATCAAGTTGGCCCATAATCGACATATATGGGTTATTCAAGTTAAGGAACCAAGGACAATGCATTTATGAATGAATTAAGGACATTATGACTTATAATCCAGCATTAAGAATCATCAATAAGATTCACGAAATCATAGATCTTTATGAGTCTTAAGTATGAAGGAGACCAAAACCAATATATAAAGCATGCTTCCCTGCATTGTCTGTATAGAGGGAATGATGATGTGTGATTGTTCCGTGTGTATATTGACCAGACTTAAAATGATGATATTTATTGGACATCATACACCACTCACCAGGACATTGTTGCCTTCAACCCAATTTTATTTTACTCTGGATGGCTAGCATGTGAGAGGAATCTGATGTGCAAGTATCTACCAGAGTGATGCATGTGTTAATTCGGATATGTGCAGATCATTTCGAGATCCCCTTTCGAGTCAGCTCCTAACAACATCATATGTAGACATCTTGATGATATACTAGTGGGTTACGAGATTTATATGGTATTAGAGGAGTATCAAAGTATGTCAGCAACAACTCAGTGGTCTTATATGGATGGTTACATTACTTGGTTATATACTGTGTAACACTCTGTCATGACATCGGACGCTCCTGGACGTCCACCTAAGTCTGCTCATGAGGAGACCCCGGAGAATGAATAGACCATAGATGACCATGTCGTGGATGTGTTACCGATCTGTCAAAATATTATGCAGATTATATTTGAGGGCATAAAGTCTGATTTGTTTGAGAAATATGACGATGATGTGGTTGCCTTAACACGTTTCATTCTTACTGAGGCACTGAATGCCTTGGATTACTGGCATTAGAGGAGAAGTCATGGGGTTAATTAGGATTAGGCGTACACAATAGGTTATGCATTTTGTTTGTATTTTCAGATGTTTTAGTATTATTGTTCATATTTTGAGAACCGTGTTTATAATATTATGAGATGTTTTTTTAATTAATGGGTTATCTTATTCTATGATGTTCATGTTTATTAATATTTGAATCAAATTATAACACTATTAATCGGATTAAAATGACTTCGAATTTAAAAAAAAAAAAACTTAGACAATATTTCTGCCCAAGATACATGCAGAGAAGTTATTGAAAATGCATATCTGAAATAAGAATTTTCGAATATGCATCTCCAAATTCACCTAAATTTTTAGAGATGTGAACCATATGTTAAAGATGAAAAAAGAAATTGTCAAAAATAAATTTTATTTAGCATCTCTTCTCAAAGTTAGTTTTGATGCAATTTCTTTTAAATATAATACCGTTTTTTATCTATCTCTTTTATTTCATTATCTTGAATTATTTTATATTTGCAGACAGTGTGCGAACTAGAATCGTGTATGAATAAGTATTGTGAGAAAATAAAAAAGCGTGCTCTCTTGTTTCTGGATCGCTGCTTTACAGTAACGGTGTTCTGTTGTCTGAATTTGAAGTTGGTGAGGTAATTTAGGTCTTGGATTGAATCTCGATTTTGAATTCGATTTTTGTCGCACCGTGATTCCGCGATTATGCCCTAACTCAACATCAATTTGTTATTAGGCGGAATGGATTGGGTTTTTGTGCATAAAACTTGGGATAAGTGGGCTTCTAACAACATTGGTTCTGGTCAGCAACGAATTTTGAATTTTGTTTGATGAATTTTGTAGACTTGTCACATTTATCTCATCTTCATATTCTAGGTCTTCCTTTAAAAGCTGCTTTGCTCATTAATTATGACCCCACTGGACCATCTCGCCTCTTATCTACCATGTAAGTTGGATTATGATTCTTTACATTTTTGTTATCTCAGTGTTTTACCTAATGGACAGTTGAATGCTGGCAGTGCTGAACAAGAAGGAATAAAACTAGATATCATTGAGTTGAGACATTTTGTAGATATCATCAAACAGAATAAGCTCCAGACTGAGATCTTCAACATTGGGCCCAATCAATGTAAGCTTCAACTTTCTCTAAAATAATTACTCACTGCTTATGTATTGTATTTCATACCGCATCGAACCACTCCTGAGGTGTTTTTTTATAGGCGGTTGTATGTTGGAATAATATAGCAAGTGTGAGTAAGTGGGGAAATAGTCTCATATTGGATAAGAATGTGGAGACTTAAACATATATAAGTGGGAGAACCCACTCACCTATCACCTTAAGATTTTAGGTGGATAAGTGGTGTGCCTCTCACAAAGGTACTTATTCCTACATTATATATCAATGCTCCTATGATGTTTCGGATTTCAGATGGATAGAGATGCATGTTCATGTTGTTGTTCCATTCGTGATATATTGATATGGATGTTATTAGACTCACTGTTTTGGATGGCAGATTTGGTCACGTCAATTCATGAGAACTGGTTTAGTGCAAGGTGCATAAACACCTCAAAACCTGCTGGGGAAGGTGCAATTGTTATGCAAACAGCAGCATATATTTTGGTTGCTCTGTAAGCATATATTTCAATTCACCATGTTGATCATTACACTTTATTTTCCTCTCACTTTTCATTCTATACTTATCTTTACTTTCACAGATATGAAGGTTCCATTGCTCCTGCATCTCGTGCTATGGGAGCTGCTGATCACTTTACTGCGCAATTACTGCGAAAGAATCTTTAGAAAGCTCCTCCTCCATATCACCTTACTTTTCCACCTCCTCCACCTGTGGTGCAGTGTTCTACAAGACACTAATATGACCCAACAAAAAGACTCTGCCTAGTGCATTGGTCATGTTCCGATGAAGCTATTGAAGAACTGTAATGTATATTTGATAATTTTAAAATTATAGATTTGAATCCTTTTATTTCATTTTCTCTACATCTTTTCCTTCCTATGTTTTAATCTTGCAAAGAGAGTGGAATTCAAAGAAATATAGAATAAGAGAATTTGATTAATAAATATAATTTATAATTCTTGTCAAAAGAATAAATATAAATTATATTTTTCTTTTTGGCTGGAGTTCTCTAATTCTATGATTAAATTTATTTTAAAAATACATTTTTTAAGTGTTTATAAAAATACATTTCTAAAATCTACTGAACTAAAAAAAATGCAGGAATTTATGTTATAGTCATCTCTACAAAACTAAAGATACCTTGTATTTTGAGATAAAACATATTTCACATTGAATAAAAAACATCTAGTATTTTGTCATAATTATTGTATAGAATTTGAATTTAATGAAAAATTCATAAATTCAAACGTAACTTATTCGAACCACTGGATTATTGGTCGAACTGTATGACTAAATCGGATAATTCGGTTGAATAGATTGGTCATTATTAACAAAATTATATAGGTATAAAATTTGTCGAACTGAATGACTCCGTCTCTACAAAATATATCTAACACTTAAATTTTTTGAAATATTATATCATAAATAAATTCACAACTTCATAATTTAAATTCAAATTTTAAACATAGGTATCGCATATAACAAAATAGTACAAAATTACAAAGTCTAATTGTAAACAAAGTCTAATTATTTTATAACAAAATAACTTCAGTGTCTACTAAATTTATTTTTAAGGAGGAGAAATTGTTTCAATGTTGAGATCTTCTTCTTCAATATCAAAACCATCTGCAACAAAATCAACCGCATCTACAACATCTTCCTCGTCAATGATATTATTATTATTTTATTATTTATTTAATTTTTTTATTAAAATAATCAAAACGACGCCGTTTTAATTTTTAAAAATTTTAAAAATTAAATAAGCAATTAAACCATCGGTTTAGGAAAACCGCCGGTTTTTTTTATTTTAGCAGTTTATACCGATTTTTACTGGTTCGCACCGGTTCGCACCAAGGGTCTACAGTGATTTGCGAAGGCTAAGATAAAGGCTCAATATGTGAAATTCGTAGAGATAATGAAAAAACTCTACATCAATGCGTCTTTCACCGAACTGTTGTCTCAAATGTCCACTTATCTTAAATTCTTAAAAGAAATCCAATTTGAAAAGAGAAAATTAGAGGAGCGTGAATTTGTGGCAATGACTGTTACGAGTAGTGTTGTGATCCAAATTATGCCACCTAAACTGAAAGATCCATGGAGTTTTTCAATCCCTTGTCAGTTTGGTAATACAAAGTTTGATAAAGCACTATGTGATTTGGGGGCTGACATTATCTCGATGCCTTTGTCCGTGTGCAAGAGGTTAGGAATAGGTGAGATAAAACCCACTGATGTTTCTCTGTAGATTGTAGATATATCAGTCAAGTATCCAATTGGTGTGTTAGAAGATGTTCCGGGAAAATTAGGACATCTCTATATACCAACAAATTTTATCATCATGGACATTGAGGAAGATTTCCAAGTACCTATCATTGACGGTAGGCTCTTTTTGAGTATTGGTGGTACAGTTATTGATGTTTAGAAGGGAAGGTTATCCCTTGAGGCAGGAAATGAGAGGATTGAATCTATAATGACAAATCTCCTAAAAGACTCTTATACAAAGGTTGCTTGCTATGTGATTGAAACTTGTGATGAAACCAAACTCAAATACCCGACACTTGAGTTAGAGCAAAAACCACTCCATCGGTTAAGAAATATGAACCACCCCATAAAAGGAAGAAAACTTGTGATGAAGCTACACCGTTGGTAGGAAAAAACCACCTCCACCAGTTAAGAAGTATGAACCACCCCATTGAAGGAAGAAAAAAGGAGTAGAAATATGGGAGATGGATATATAGGTGGACATAGATCCCTAAGACCACTGAGCCTAAGGTTGAAGAACCTTCTTTGAATGAACCACCATGAGTGCTTGCACTCGCGGACCATCGAGCTAAACAACGTTAAACAAAATGCTTCGTAGGAGGAAATCCGCGCTTTTAATTGCTAATGCCTTTTATGTTTGCAGGCTTGGTTTTTTAATAAGAAAGGAAAACTCAAGAGAAGAAAGCAAAAAAAAGCAAAATTTTTACAATTCTCTAATATGCTGCATTTTTCACCTCCTCTGAGAGGTGCTTTCTAAGTTTTCTCTTCACCTTCTATTCTCTTATTATGGAACATTGAGAATAATGTCCAGTTTAAGTTGGGGGGGTAATTTCCCTTTTACTTTTATCGCTTTATGTGTGTTTGTTTGTTTGTTTATTTGTTTGCTTGTGTTTCTAGCAATATCTACACTGCTTTGAAAATTCTCTTAAATTTTAAGTCGTTTATTTTTTTGTTGTAAATTTTTCATTTGATTGAATAAAAAAGTATAAAAAGATTTAGGGATGAAAGGTTTAATAGCATATGCTCGATGAACCTGCCAATAACGAATTTGTGTGCATCGACTTGTCTGATAGGAACTTTCCTACAATCGCATTCTGATTCTCTATGAATTCTTCTGTTATATTGTCCTCATCCCAAATGCAGAAATCATTTCATCTTCTTCATCTCATGTAATTGTTTCTGAGTTTCTTGTAGAGTTTTGAATACTTGTTGATTTCTTTTACAGGATTTGATTGTTGATGATCTCACCCTGGTTGCCCATTATGATATTCAATGGAATGTGCATTTTTGGAATGTGTATGGTAGAATGCAAGAGGTCTAAACAATCTCCACACTAGAGATGTGACTTTTTCTTTTCTCTGTTATCTGCATGTTTTTCATCGCAGGCAAAGACCAAGACTCCACTTCCAAGAAGCAATTGAAGAAATAAAAAACTATCAATGAAGCCATGAACAACGACACACACCAGCACAAGATCATAGCCCGATAAAAGAATCCACAATCATCCCAATAGAGCCAACATAGTACACACTTCAGGAAGATATTATAGAGAAATCGCAACATAAAACACCTAGAAAGACAAAAAAATCAAAAGGAGAAGAATACCAACAAAGAAGAGAAAACACAATAACTCTTCTCATAGGAAGAAGAATGGACTAAAACCAGCGCTCACCAATAACTCTTGCAATAGTTTATTTATAATATAATAACATTTATAATTTTTTTTCTTATAGTGATTCTAATTCTAGAGCTTTATTGTTGAACTCACTTGAATATATTAAAAAATAAATAAATCACTTTTTACAATTAATTATTGATGTAGTAAGTAGTAACCATAATTTTGTAAAAAGATGATTTGTGATTTATAACCAACATGAAGTAGAGGTTTGTATTGTAGTAGCGCAGGCAGAGAAGAGAAGTGAAACAAAAACTCCAACGGAAGAAAACCTGAATCAAGCTTCAATGAAACCCAACACTAGAACTACTTTATGTTCTTTATTATTATGCTTGTTTATTTGTGTTCAATTCCAACCTTGTTTAGGATCTAACAAGAGAACCACCGATGAAGCATACGTTACTCTTTTATACGGAGACGAATTCTTACTAGGCGTTCGAGTTCTCGGTAAATCAATTCGCAACACTCGATCCAATCAAGACATGGTTGTTTTAGTTTCAGACGGTGTTTCAGATTTCGCCAAAAACCTTCTCCTTGTAATCTTTTCTCATCACTCGATTTTCTTTTTTTTTTTTGGTTGTAGCTAGGTTTTGTTATTATACCTTCTATTTGTTTTTTGTTGATTTTTCTTTTATGATTTTATTTCATTAACTTTAAGTGGAAATTTTTTTATAAAAAATTAATTGAAAATTTTTTTAGTTGATAATCTATAGTAGTTTTTTCTCTCTTCAATCTCACATAACTATTCATATTTTCTTTGTAGTTCTTTTTTCTCATGCCTAAAAACCAACTACTTCAATATATGAGACCTAAAAGAAAAACTGTAGTCTAATTAAAAAAATTAATTACGAGAGCTATTATGTTTTAGAAGTTAAAATTTTTGTTTATGTTCTTCTCACATTCTTATTTTTAAAAGCCATATTAGGAAATATAATAATATATTTTAAAACTTAGTTCAATATTTTTAATTTTTATTAGTTAATTATGTAATATGGAAAATATAATAAATTAAAAGTAACTTATGTAATTTTGAAATATTAAATAAAATTATAAATAAGTTAAATTTTTCCTAAAATTTAATTATAGAATAAAAAATCGGACAAAGACATTGAAAGGTAATCAATCATTCATGAGAATGGTGGTGAAAATAAACTAATTTAAAAGAGGAGTAATTTTCACCTTTCGTGTTTTCTTTCTCAATTTTTTTTATCTAAACCATATGCTGTCTACTTTTTTAAATTATAAAATAAAGACTATATAATCTCTTATCATTCAATAACTAATATAGATCATTCTTTTTTAACGAATATAGTTTCAACAACTTATCTCTTTATTTTAGGATGACACACACTTATTTGACAAGAGAAAGAATCATGTATATAATATTTTGTTAAAGATATTTTAGGATGACACACACGTATTTGACTAGAGAAAGAATCATGTATAAAATATTTTATTAAAGAATTTCAAATGTTAGTTTTAAAAAAAACTTACCAACTATGTTTTTTAAAAGCTTAACACATAAAAGACAAGAAAACATACAACAATTTAATTTTGTAAGGAATTAACATAATCCAATTAAATTATGTAATGGATTAAATATGATCTACAAAGAGAGGGATTTACATAGTCTAAATGAATTTTGTAAGATGTTAAATATCTTTTTTTCTCGGGATTAATAAGAATGTTATAACTTTTTTGAGGGACCAATATATATTAATTTGATGTTAA